GTTGAGAACTATATTACATTATTTAGTCATTTTCCCCACAATAACCCTAAGCATAGTTTTTTTTATTCTGTCACATCAATTTTCCGTTAACTTTATCAAACATAAACCTATTAACTTAAATCCTCTATTTTGAAAAGTTATTTTTCAATAACTAACTAATCTATCCTTGTCTATATATAATACTATACGAATGTCTGTGTGTTGCGCAGAAACACCTATATAGTTGAAGTCTTTACAAATATATGTTTTTTTTATAAATATAATAATAACGCTGTTGTTAAATTTGATATAATAATTCGTATATTAAATTTGTATAATATATTGATTATTTTGAATTATATCATAGTATATACATCTATTATAATTGCATAATCTCAATCGTTTGAATGACTTTTACCGGTGAGTTACAAAAATTAAATATAATATATGGTTTAATGTTATTTATAGTTGTTGTTATTGTTAATTAATTTTTTAATTTTTTTTGCTTAATGTTTTAATTTCTATCATTATAATTATTTAAAACATTAAACATTGTTTTTTGATTTTAAAGGTAACAATATAATCATTTATATAGAGTTATTTTTAACTATTGTTATTGTAAATTATTTTAAGCTACTTATTTGAAAACTTTTAACGATTATAAAAATATATTTAGGAAATATTTTAGTTAAATTGAGATTACAATTTAGTTTTTGCATTTTTTTTATCACTTTTAACTATTTATAAAATATTCTTTTGTTTTTTTAAATGAAACTGAAATTTATATTTAAGTTGATACTATAATGTTATATTTAAATTAACAATTTAAGTTTTTTGTCCAAACTGCTCAAAAGTTATAGCTTTAAACTAATAATGATTTACATACAACAACATTTTAAATCTAATAAATTAAGTATAATATGTTAAAAGTTAAAGACATAACTTTATAAGTAGAAGTAAAAATATTATTTTAAAACTGAAATTTAGTTTATTTATTATTACACTTCATGTTTGATATTTATTTAACTTTATTAACCAACTTATAATCATTATTAGAAAGACACTACAATTTATCACTTTTAACTATTTACAAAATATTTTTTGGGTTGTTTAAGTTAAACTAAAATTTATATTTAAGTTGACCCTGTAATGTTATAGGGCGTGTTTGACACAGAGCTTTTGGAAGCGTTTGGAAGCTTCTAGCTTTTAGCTTTTGACAAAATGCTCTATTTTAAACAAAAAGCTTCGTTTGGTAGTACGAGCGTTTAACTTTTAGTTTAAACAAAACGCTCCAAATCTAAAAGCTACTTAATGTAGCGTTTAACAAAACGCTACTGAGCTTTTGAAATCAATTTCCATAATTACCCTTAAAAATATATTTATATATTTATTTATTTTTAATCGATTGTCCTTTTATGTAATTTTATATATTTTAGAAGCTTCCAGCTACTTTTGCCAAACACTCATATAACAAATAAAAGTTACAGCTTCTCGTTACCAGCTACCCGCTACCCGCTACACGCTACCCGCTACCCGCTTCCAACTAACAACTACTTTTGCCAAACACGCCCATATTCAAATTAATAATTTAAGTATTTTATACAAATTGTTCCAAAATTGTATATTTAAAATGATAATGGTTTACATCCAACAATATATTAAAACTAATAAATTAAGTATAATATGTTAAAAGTTAAAAAACATAACTTTATAAGTAGAAGTAAATATATTAAATTTGTCATATCTAGCCTTATCATGTCGGCGTTACATCGGGTTTTATTAGTTTGGTTATGAATTGTGTTTAATTGATCGCAACATCTATCATGTTAAAGTTATGATTTTTATTAGATATTGATGAGTTATGTGTAGTTTACATGAAAAATCTGATCGCATTGACTTGAGTCTTAACTAGTTTATGTCTATAAATTGTTAAGACTAGAGATCGAACAAATTTTAGGGTTAGGTAATATTAATTGGTTATTTTGATTGTTTTAGAGAGTTTAGATATCCATGCTATTCTTCGATTGATTGTCATGACCATTTATGAGAAATCACTAGATCGTGTCTTTCATATTTCGAATATATATTAAATTAATTATGTGTTCACTAATTACATGATCATTATGTTAGTTGTTCATTAATTAATAGTACTAGAAAATCCGAACAAGATAACTACTCGCATTAGAATTCGATAACCAACTGATAAATCCATTGCACTATTAACGAATTTAACCATGATTTTGAGAAGTAATCAAAATTAAACCAAAGTACCTAAAGTGATTCGTTTTCAGTCATTTTATCTGGTTAATTTAGTATTTGATTTGTTTAAGATTTAATAATAAAAGCCCCATTTTTTCTGCTTTCTTTTATTTAGTATAACTTATAGTGAAAAGTTCTAATATTAATTCACTACTGCTCCTCTTGAGTTCAACATCCTTGCTTATCAAAATTATACTATACTCGATCAGGTTCATTGCCTGTAAGGTGTGGTTTAGATGCGATAAACTAAGAATAATAAATAATTAATGCATTAAAAACACACACCGATTATGCTTTACGATCAAGGTTGGAGCCAACCAAAAAATAACACATACTAGTATACATGAGGACGACTATGTTTTTTGTCAGACCCAATCATTGAGGGGACTAGAGAGATCTCTATTGGGAGGGTTTTTACCCTCAAAACACTAGGTAGTTTGTATCATCTCATGAATATTACCCTCAAATCACTAGGTAGTCTTTTCCTTTACCATATATCAAAAAATTTAACAAAACATTGTATACATGATAAATTTCTCACACGAGTATTACACTCAACTTTTTCCCTTGTACTACTCAATGTTTGAATTAATATGCAAGGAACAAAAAAATAAATAAATATGACGCAGTTTGTATATGAATCTATGAGATCATACATTAAATAACATAAATGAGATCAAATAAACAAGATTATTTATAAAATATAATTTTATTATTTACCAACTTAAATAAATGAAAATAAAAATTTATTTGTTCTTTATTTATCAAGCATGGAATAAATCATACATTAAATAACATAAATGAGATCAAATAAACAAGATTATTTATAAAATATAATTTTATTATTTACCAACTTAAATAAATGAAAATAAAAATTTATTTGTTCTTTATTTATCAAGCATGGAATAAATACATAAACATGTTAATATTATTAATAAAATAAAATAATTTAATTAATTGGGAGCCTTATTAATATATAATTAGTTAGAATGAGTTTTAGGGTTTTATTATGGTTGGTAGGAAGGCTTTGAGAAAGCCTATCTACCAAATATTAAAATGAGGATTTTAGTGTCCATTTCTAGTGTAACGTCCCAAAAATAAGACCAAAAATTTTTAATTTTTAAATTGATAAAACGGTAATCCAAAATATCATCATAAAACCAAGATGGATCAAAGTATATCAATACATCATAGAATATAAGAGTAAATCAGAAAATGCGGAATAAGGTGGTGTGTGCTCTGTAATCATCCCATGTTCTTCCCTTTCGAACGAGAAGTACCTGAAACATAAACTTAAAATCGTAAGCACAAAGCTTAGTGAGTTCCCCAAACTACCACATATCATACATAATAAACACATACTGGGCCCCGCCCGGCATCGGGCCCCACACGGTATCGGGTCCTGCCCGGCATCGGGCCCCGCT